AAAGCAGCTCAAAGGAGACAAAGACAGTTTACGTAACAGGATACCCCATAATCTTCATTGCCATTTCATGTCTTTCACAATTTTTCTTGACAAGGCTAATTTCTCTGCCTGGAACGCAATTCAATGAAATTCTCTTCATCAAATACAATTTATGGTTTAAGAGAATGGGCAGTTCTTATGTTAGTGGAGATTTAGGGTCTGCTGTACCACCTGAGCTATGCCCCCAGGGCTTTCACTTTTTTTTTGGTGCTACTGGGCATTTGAACACAGGACTTTGTGCTCTGTACTTGCTAGGCAGGTGCTCTTCTGCTTGAGCCATGCCTACAGCCGCTCCCTCCTCTACTTGTATTTTGTTTTTGAGATAGGGTATTGCTAGCTTTGTCCAGGTTGGCCTCAAACTCATGAACTCCTGTCTCCGCCTCCAAAGTAGCTAGAATTATAAGCACGTATTATCACATCTGGCTTGAGAGTGGGGCAGTTCTTGATTCAAGATTTGCTCATGGAGCTGGTGGAGTAGCTCAAATGGTAGAGCACCTGCCTAGCAAGTGTGAGACCCTGAGTTCAAACCCCAGTGCCACCAAAAAAAAAAATCTGCTTATGGAGTGTGTTGGCTGAGATGAGGCCAAGAAACTAGAAGACTAGGGTTTTGAATTATCCATGTGAATACTGGAATCACAGGAGTGTGCTAGGAGTTAAAGTAGAATGGAGGACTATTGTCACTTTGCTAATGAATGAATGAAAGGTAGTGACTTAGAGTAAAGGAGAAGCCATTGATAGAGTTAGTGGGCACAGACTTGAAAGGAGTTTCTTTCCCACAAATGAAGTTGAAGTATTATGATTTGGAAGAGGAAAAAAATACATTATGATTTGGGAGGGAAAAAAGAATGTTGATGTCTCCCCACTGACTCCTACTATATGGGAAATATGCAGAATGAGAAGGGGCAAGGAGAAGTACTCACTGAAGGGGTTGAAGAGAAAACAGAATGGAAAGGTAGGATATAGAGAGCAGCAGTGAAAGATGAGTTTGGAGAGAAACCACCAAGCCAAACAAACAAATGGGTATACCAGAGGTGAGATGAAAGAAGTTTGGAGAAAGTTTTGAGTTGCACAGTCATCTTCAACATTCTAATTAGAACTCTTGTGTATAGTTTTTTCTCCTAGCAAGCAAAGGTTCTGAGTTCAAATTCCAGTATCACAAAAACAAAGACAACACACCAACAAAATGAAGTCCCTGGACCAGCCTTTTGCTTCCTCTTTGCCAAGTGACATCTTTCACACAAGGGCTCCTGCCGTGTGATACTGTTATGAGGCTATCAGTACAAGCTGATGCTGGCACCATTCTCTTAGACCTCCAGAACTTTGAGCTAAATAAACTTCTTTTCCTTATAAAGTATTCAGCCTCAGGGACTTGGTTATAGCAACACAAAGATGAAGAAATAAAAACCCAAACCAAATGATATTGCTAGAGATGACAAGCCTGTAAAAATTGGCCTACATTCTCAACCATACTGCACACCACATTCCCTCTCATGAGTTACCCACTAGGCCATCTCCTTGAAACTGAGGATATGAACAATCTTACCTTTCTCTTTTGTTTTTACCATGTCAATTTTGTTCCTGTCTTAGGGCATTTGTATGTGGCTTATTTTGCCTGGAATATTCTGTTTCAGTTTTTCACCTTGTTAGCTACATTCTCATCCCCAGGTTTCTGTTGTCACCAACTCCCCAGAGGGTACTCGTTCCTAAGTACCTGCCCTTAAAGCCATCCTTTCCTCATCTATTGCCCTCACATGCCCTTGTTTTATTTCAGGACATCCTACAGTCTGGAATGATCGTGTTTACTTACTTATGTGTTTATGGTCCGACTTCTTCCACTGAAATGCAAGCTATGAAAAGAGGGAGAAAAGGCAAGTTGAGAAAGGGAGTAACTGATGAATAAATGTTATAGAAGAGTAGAAAGGGGATGGGATAGAGAATGTAAAGGGAGGAATGACAGACCATTTCTTTCTCAAAAACAAGAGCAAGGAAAGTAGAAGAGAATGAAAACATTAGGGTATCTGAGGTGGAATGTAATATGCCACCCAGCAAGCTGTTTACCCGTCAGCCTTTAATTACATGGTTATATTGGTTGTGGGAATAGCAGCAAACTCCTGGAGTTTACTGTGCCAGCTGGTTCTGCAAGATATGTACACAAGGCAGAGAAAATCCTCCTCCATTATTTTTTTCCTCCTTGGTTCTACTAGGCTTAGCAAAGACAATCACTGGTCCATATCATGTATGTAAAAAGTTCTTTGGGGAACTGTGAAGTTCTTTACAGATGCTGCTATCTTTACTAAATGCATGAGTCTAAAGGATGTACCCTGTGTGAAACACCAGGAAGGAACATCTGGATGGAAGTCTATGATGTCCCCAAAGGGGCTTCAGCTTTTTTCCTGAGAAACAGTAAATCAGATTAACACAGATTTTTTTTTTTTAAATCATGGGCTTTCAAATGACTAAGCATTACATTATATAATCCTGCTGCCCTGCTGTGAAACAGATTACAATTATGTTGTAACTCCATTTTCTGTTGAAACCTGGAAATAAGATTTGTTCCAGGCTAAACAGGAAGTCAGTAATAAAATTACAGTTACTGGTTAATCCAGGCTTTACATCTTTTATACACTCTAAGGTCTGTGCACAACTGACTTTTTTTTTCTCCTGGCCTAGTGCCTCACCCTAGTGTAAACAACCAAGGTATAAATGCATAGTGCATGGAGGAGAGAGGAAGAAAATGTTAAATATGAGTATTTCTAATTACCTCCTTCCCAGAGTTGGGGGACTGTAGGTTGGTAGGCTTACCTGGGAGATGCTGGGGATAGGAGGTAACATGAGAAAGGGAGAAGTTGGACTGGAAGTGTAGCTCAAGCAGCAGAGTGCCTGCTTTGCAACCATGAAGCCCTGAATTCAAGCCCCAGTCCCACCAAAACAAAAAAGAAGAAAAGGAAAGGGAGAAGTTGGCAATGGTGGGAGATAACTAATCGCAAATGAAGAACCATCCCCTGACCCAGGGATGGGGAAGAGCCAAGGTGAATGAAGGTGAAGATTTCCCAGCTATCACAGAGAGTAGAAATAGTTACTGATTTGCAGTGAGTAAGGCTGGATGAGTTCCACAAACTTTCATAATAGATAAACAGTCCTTGTCTCCAAAACATTATAGTTATTCCTCCCCCATCCTTCCTTTTACTTTCCTTTAAAACTTTCATACTCATTTTGAAACAGGCCTTGAGGTGAGGCAAAGTGGCTTGACCTGGTCAGGGTATATTCCAGAAAAATATCCTATGGGAGTCAAGCAATTGTCTGACTCTAGCACTGGAGCTCTGGCTTTTCCCAAGATGAACCCTTTACTCTTGAGGATGTAGATGAATTGAGAGCCAAAGAATTTTCAGGAATTAATAATACCATGGTGAGCAAACAATTCATAAGGACTGTGTAGTAGTTGGTTATGAGGGTGCTGTGAGCAGGGCCTTCTTTTCATTTGCTGCCTGAGAGGACAGGGGCTACTACCAGCCAAGCTCCTCACCTATCCGTCTTTACCTATGTCCTCTCTAACAGGTTGGAGGAGGTGTTTTGTTAGAGAATATATAAGCTCTTTTGGATTCCATTTGTAGTAAGCTCCTCTCTATTTAAAGACTCCTCTGACACTTTCTCCCATTTCCAACCACCTCAGATGAGAGGGAAGAAAAATCAAATACCAGCTCATTTCTCATTACAGCTCATTAAATGCAATTAAGTATTATTACCCTATAGTCTCATAAATATGTACAAAATAGGATTCAGAATGTGTATAAATTTATATAACTAATGTTTACATACTAAGCCAATGTTTAATACTAAGCCAACATTGTATATATGGTTATTATTGTCACAGATGTATATTTTTATCTTTCTAGACCTATATGTTAGTATCACTATGCTGCCTTTTATTTATTTTTTTTTTGCTTAAAAGATTTTTTTTTATTGTTTCATTATTCATATGTGCATACAACACTTGGGTCATTTCTCCCCCCTGCCCCCACCCCCTCCCTTACCACCCACTTGGCCCCCTCCCTCTCACCCCCACCCCCTCAATGCCCAGCAGAAACTATTTTGCCTTTATCTCTAATTTTGTTGGAGAGGAGTATAAGCAAAAATAGGAAGGAACAAGGGTTTTTGCTGGTTGAGATAAGGATAGCTATCTGCCTTTTATTTATTATAGAAAGTGTTCCTGTGTTGGAAGATCCTGAGTTTAAATCCTTTTTCTTCCATGGCTCATATGAAAAGGAACTTTCTCAGGAGAAAAAGAGTAGACTTGGAGAATCAGAAGCCCAATGAAACCACCTAATTCTTACTGATAGCATTAGGTGCTTTAAACGGCTGGGGATATTTGCTCTCGTCTTTCTTTCAACAGCAGTTGGCTCATTACAAGGTCTGTCCACGTCCTCATATAGGTTGTGAGTACCTTTTTTTTTTTTTTTGTGGTATTGGGGTTTGAACTCAGGGCCTACACCTTAAGCCACTCCACCAGCCCTTTTTTGTGATGGTTTTTTCAGAGAAAAGATCTCGCGAACTATTTGCCGGGGCTGGCTTCGAACCGCGATTCTCCTGATCTCTGCCTCCCGAGCAGCTTTGATCTGCACTGAAAAGAGAAGTCTTCTTTTAGAATCTAAATCGGTGGGAAAGGGAAGGAAAACATTAAATCCAGGATCTACTTTGTGTCGACCACGGTTTAAGTTGTTGAGGAAGGAGAAATGCGAACAAAAAACTTACATTATCTTAGACCACGGCACAAGACAAGTCTGAAGGTCTACCAAGGTTCTGGAGACTGGAGCTTCAGTCCGGCACCGCCCTGACGGCGCCCCCGCCCCGCCCCCGCCCCGCCCCGCCCCCGCCCCGCCCCCGCCCCGCCCCCGCCCCGCCCCCCAGCTCCCCGGCAGGCACCCTGCGCATGCGCCTCGCGCCTGCTCAGGGGGCGGCTCCTGGCTGCCATCTTGCAGCGTGCGGGTCCGCCGCCGCTGCAGTCGCTCCCCGGAAAGTGGGCCCCGAGCGAGCGACAGCGTGTCCTGCTCAGATTGCGTTCTTTTCCCATTGCCAGCCCTGCCAAACAGCCCTGCCGAGGTTGTTCAGCTAATTAACCTGTCGCCCGCGGCCTGACGCCGTGCCCTCCGCCGCGAAACGGAGCTCCGGGAACGTCTGCCGCGATGCCGAACGTGCAGCTGCCGCCCAAGGAGAGCAACCTCTTCAAACGTATCTTGGTGAGTGGCGGGAGGGGTCCGGCTCTTTGTTTACCTGAGAGCCAACCTCCTCGCCCGTGGCTGTCCGGCGTCTCGGTCCTCCTCCGCAGCCACGCGCTTTCCAGAAACTTCCCGCCGCCCCCCGCAGTCCCGGCGCGGAGCCGCGGTGGTTCCCACGTCCTCCCCACCCACTGTGTCTCTTGCCCCCCCCTCCGGGGCTTCGTCGCAGCTTTGCGTTCAGTCGATGACTTGGCACACCCGCATACCTAGCAAAGTCGGGGCGATCGGGTTAATACCCATTACGGGAAGATTGAGGCCGCGCCGGCTCCGGGAGAGAGCTGGCACGGTTGTTAACGTGCCGTCTTCGCCTCGATGGGAAGTCGGGAGGTGACGGGGATGCATTGCCAGTTGTCATGAACTCCAGCTGCCCCTTGCTTTTAACCCGCAGGAGCGGTGGACGCTACGCACGCAGGTTTTGCGCTTGAGGAAAGCGTTTACTTTGTTTCCCAGCAGAAACCTAAATTATGCCCCGCCCTGGTAATGACCGCAGCCCCGCCGAGAGCGGTCCTGGGCGCCTTCGCGGACTTGCAGGTGCCATCCTCATAGGCAGGACAGGTGACATGCCTTTGCTTGTCTCATTATGCACTTGGGACCGAAGACTTTAATATTAGTAGATACCTGTCTTTTGTAGGTTTTTGTTTTTTAATCTGAAAACTAGTGTGTATTTGCTACCAGCGTGTAGACTTTAAAGGATTTGTGTTGAGAACTTGGCGGTGCCTTTATAGCGGTTAGCTGTTGCTTGACTTTACATTTACATACTAATTATAGAATAGTTTTAAGTATTATCAGCTGCTGATGAAAAATTCGTAGTAGTTTCTGTTCCAAGTTAGTAGAAACGTTACAGTTAGTCTTTAGAATGGTAGGAATGATACATAGTAGATGGGATGAAAAATTTAAATTTTATGTAGTGCTTAGTGTTGAGCACGTAAGAGAGAAGTGTAAAAACATAAAAAATTACTAATCATTACAGAATTGTAGCAGGTTGCTTCCTTGAGCTTGTATGTATTTTCCCTTTTTTTTTTGTTGGGTTTGAACTCAGGGCTTCATGCTTACAAAGCAGGTGCTCTACCGCTTGAGCCACACCTCCATTCCATTTTGCTCTGGTTATTTTGGGGGGGTGATCCTCTGAACTATTTGCTGGGGCTGGCCTCAAACCATGACCTTGCAAATCTCAGCATCCTATGTAGGATTACAAGTCTGAGACACGGATACCCAGCTGTATTTTTTATTTTACTTTTGTTTCTCTCATGCCTTTAGTTTATACAGTAAGCATAAATTGGAGAAATGAAATTTTTTTTTTGCCTCTTTCAGGTTTTTCTTTTTGTTTATCTTAGTAATCTGAAACATTAATGAGAAATCATCTGTAAGTTGTTAGTTGGATTTCAGGACATTTGACATATCTAAAAGATGACACTTTTCTCTCTAGATGGGTGTTTTCTAGTTCAACTGTTCTATATGTAGCATTAAGTAAAACTGTTACATGATTTGTTATACTCAGGTTATAAAAAAGTAAAAGATGTGGCTGAATTAATTTTGGGAAATGCTAAGCATTTTCTTATCTAGGTATGTAATGTTCATTATAAACTTGAATGAGTTGAGGAGGGTGCAGAAGTGAGTGATTTTTCTCATCTCACAATCGTAATAAGTTGTAATGAATATGGGCAAAATTTTGCTACAATAAATTCCTTGGCAAACAAAAGTCCATGTGATAAAATTATATGTGTGTGTGTGTATGTTTATATGTTTATATATAAATACATATACATATATATGTATTTTGTAGTACTGAGGCTTGAACTCAGGACCTATACCTTGAGCCACTCCACCAGCCCTTTTTTGTGATGGGTTTTTTTTTGAGATAGGGTCTCTCGAACTATTTGCCTGGCCTGCTTTGGAACCCCAGTCCTCCTCATCTTTGCAACCCCAGTCCTCCTCATCTTTGCCTCCTGAGTAGCTAGGATTATAGGTGTGAGCCACTGGCACCTGGCTGATAAAATTATTTTTAAAGTTTGGTTAGTGGACCCAAAGTGTTTTGCCACCAACAGTAATTTTTTTTCTGTTAATCATCAGTGTACTTAAATACATCACACAGATTCACCAGCTAGTTTATTGCATGTTCTGCAAAGCTTTTATCTGCCTATCTTATGCTCTAGGCTGGCTGTTAGCTTTTCATTTTGTAACTTTGGAGTTACTTCATGCTCTCTTTTATGTGTAAGACAAGTCACACTCAAAGAATGGTAGAGTGTCTAAGGTTTTGTGTCTGGTTAGTAGTAAAGTTGAGATTAGAAATTTTCTTTTCTATTAAGTATATAATAGTTCCTTAGTGAACAGACTCTGGCACCAGCTACTTGGGTAAAATTGTCATTCTGATACTAGCTGAGGGAATTCAGTAATTGTGTCTCAGATTCTCCATCTAAAATGGAGAATAGTATGCATTACTGGCATGAGTCACCATGTCCAGCAAAATACAGTATTTTTCTTTCCTTCTTCCCTAGTAGTTCCTTTTTCCCCCTTGCCCTTTCTTTTTTTTTTAATTTTTATTTTTTTATTATTCATATGTGCATACAATACTTGGGTCATTTCTCCCCCCTGCCCCCACCCCCTCCCTTACCACCCACTCCGCCCCCTCCCTCTCCCCCCCACCCCCTTGATACCCAGCAGAAACTATTTTGCCCTTATCTCTAATTTTGTTGAAGAGAGAGTATAAGCAATAATAGGAAGGAACAAGGGTTTTTGCTAGTTGAGATTAGGATAGCTCACATTAATTTCCTGTGCATGTGTGTTACCTTCTAGGTTAATTCTTTTTATCTAACCTTTTCTCTAGTCCCTGGTCCCCTTCTCCTATTGGCCTCAGTTGCTTTTAAGGTATCTGCTTTAGTTTCTCTGCATTGAGGGCAACAAATGCTAGCTACCTATCCTCATATCTCCCTTGTGTGCACTCGCTTTTATCTTGTGATCAAAGTTCAGTCCCCTTGTTGTGTTTGCCCTTGATCTAATGTCCGCATATGAGGGAGAACATACGACTTTTGGTATTTTGAGCCAGGCTAACCTCACTCAGAATGATGTTCTCCAATTCCATCCATTTACTAGTGAATGACATTTCGTTCTTCTTCATGCCCCTTGCCCTTTCTTAGGTGAATTCCTATATTCAAACTCAGATTTTTTTTGGGAGGGAGTCACATACTGGGGTTTGAACAGCCTGGAGCTTGCTAGGCAGGTGCTCTACTACTTGAGCCATGCCCCCAGACGTTCACATTGTCACTTCAAAATATTTTTAGAGTATGTAATATATTCACATAGTTCCAAATTTGTTTCTCTCCTGTCTTTGTTTTCTAGCCCTCTACTTGCCTTTCAGGCAATCAAGAAGACTCAGTTTAAACATTTTTTCTATGAAGACTTTGAATTCTCCTTGATAGCTCTAGTCAGTGCTTCAAGGATTAACCATGCTCTTCTCCATTACTGGTGCCATTTAGCTTTGAATTTAGGAGGCTGTGTTTATGAGTAGCTCCGGTTTGTCCAGGCCCTGGGGATGAGCCAGTGTTTATACTAGATAAGATCTGTGTTCTGCTAGAGTTTAGATGATGGTTGGGGAGGACACATGGTAAATAAGTAATTAAATAAGAATTTCAGAGACTGGTAGCATTGTGAGGAAAATAAAATACAGTAAAATGATAGAGAATCTTTTTGAGGGGGTAGGAGCCTGGCAGTATTAATAGCAAGGTCAAGTAGGTTGAGACTTAAATAAGGAATCAGCCATGGGATGATTTGGTAGAGAACATTTCAGGTAGAAGGGACACAGAAGTCCTAAGGTGGCTATTCATAATAGCCAATCTTTGGAAACAACCCAGGTGCCCTACAACTTATGAATGGATGAAGAAATTGTGGTATACATAAACAGTGGAGTATTACTCCATTGGAATAATGACTTGTGGTTTGAAGGTAAATGGATGCAGTTGGGGGACATCATGTTAAGTAAACAAGGATCAGAAACACAAAAGCTGCATGTTTTCTCTCACATGTGGATGATCCAAAGATAAACATATACACCGAAAATAAGCATGATCATATATAAATTCAGATGTAGAACATGTTTGTAACAGTGGAACTACTCTATGGAACTCAGGGAAGGAGGAAAAGGAAAAGAAAATGATAGCGCATCAGGAATATCGCATAACATATGTGAAGGTAAAGGATATAAGTATGTGTATTGAAAGCTATTGAAAAGGGGGGGTGGTGGTGGGAGGTAAAGGGGTTAGGGAGAGTAATGGAAGGTGTTGAATGGACCAAATTAAAAGTACATCTGCAGTGGGCATACATTGAGACACCCTTGAACATCAACTTAAATATTAATAATGAAAACCAGGACTGTAAAATAGGTAGTGTGTGTGGGGGGTACTAGTAAGAGGAGGGAGGGTAAAGGAAGGAGATTCAGATGATGGTACATGGCAGATGGACTTCCTGAACTAAAAAACCTCTTGCAATTGCTTTAAGTGAGATGGGGAGGGGGTTGAGGGGGAGAGACAATGGAGGCAATGTAAATAATATACAATATAAGTCTAATTGGAATTGTCACTATGAATTCCCCCCGTATAATGAATATATTGTAATAAAAATTTATTAAAAGAAAAAAGAAGTGCTAAGATGGGGATAAGCTTGGCATGCTGAGTGCTGGGATACCCAGTCTGAACGATGTGAGGGGAGAGTGGAAAGAGATGAGATATTCTGATTGAGAGACATTTGTCACTTAGCCTGGCAGTGCCATTTAGGAATGAAGATGTGTGTGCTTGGGTTAGACTATTGATGGTTTTTGGAGCAGGTCTAGGGTTTGCACCTAAGCTGAGATGCTTATAAATATGTTTGGAACTCTTGAGTTTAGTTTCCACATTTGCAAAGTAGAAGCAGTGATACATACCTTAAGGAACTGTTAATAAGAACTAAGAAAGATTAAAAAAAAAAAAAACTAAACATAAGTGCTGGCAATGATGTGGAGAAAAGGGAACCATTGCACTATTGCTGGGAATGTAAGTTAATACAGACTTTATGGGAAACAGTATGGAGGTTCCTCAAAAAGTTAAAAACAGAACTATATCATCTACCTATTCCACTACTGGGTACACAGTAGATACTTGATATTTGTGGGTACATGGTTCTGAGGAGATTGCCACTGAGGAAAAACTGCGAATGCTCAGGATGTATAGAGTACTGTGAATGCTTGATTCATTTTTCCCATAACACTGGCCAATGCTCAACTTCCTCGAAAGATATGCGCCTTTTAGCAAATCTAAAATTTTCACTTTACCACTTAAATTAGGTACATTATGTGCCTTTTTAGACTTGGGAGGAATACCATAACTTTTACCTTGCTCTTTTGGAGTTGCTTGGTTTTCACAAGGTATATTGTCACAAAATTAAGGGCAGGGAAACACTTGAGTAGATCATGCAATGATTTTTTTTTTTAATACACAATGATGTTAACATGGGACTGAGTGAGAGCTTCTCTACATCAACTGAGCTAGCTGCCTAATGGATGTGTGAGAATTTAAAATTTTTATTTTTGAAAATTTCTTTTGATTTTTTAAAAATTATTTTTTGACCACATTTGGTCCAAACCATGCGTAAGCTATAAATAAGATGGATATACTGTATATCCATAGGAAATGAAATTGGTATGTTGAAGAAATAATTTCTACTTCCATGTTCATTGTAGCACCATTCTTAGTAGCTAAGAAATGGAAACAACCTAACTGTCTGTCATTTGATGAATGTATTACTAATCAGCTGGCTGGGGTAGAAATTGCAATTAGCTATTCTCATGTGGGCAGACCTGGGTTAAAAGCTTATTAGCTGAGTTGACAGACTCAGAGGCTTATAGCTTCAAGTCCTGAGAACCAGAGACTTATGGCTTTAGGTGCTTAAGGTTGGAGGCTTTTTGCTCTGGACTTTGTTTGCCAGTGGCCTGGCATTTGGCAGCTAGTGTAACCTTTGGCTTTTAGTAGCAGCAGCAGTCGGCACCAGCTAGGGTTACAGTTCCCAAGCCTGAAGTGTAGCTTTGGAGCCTTGTGTGTTGGGACCCTTGGTTCTTAGGGCTTGGCAGCTCTCTGGAACTCTTCCAGTAACTGAGTTCTCTCTTCACGCCTTCTCTATACTTATACTATCCTTTGTCTGACTCTGCCACCACTACTCCTTGCTGTGTCTACCCACGGCTGCTCTGCTGCCTTCTTGCCAATTACTGCTACCACTATTGCTGCTGCTTAGCTGCCTCCTCTTCATGTTACCAGCTCAGCCTGCCCTATTTATGATAGAGATCAAAAGTAGGCAAAGAAAAGACCATTGAAGAGAAGTCTTACTGGGCCTAAGGTTGTAACACCTGGGATAGCATAGGAGGATACCTTCAGGCCAACATAAAAAGTGAACTAAGCAGCCTGTCTATAGCCAGGAGTGTGTGGCAAGGGTATTTGCACCAATTACAGCACTGCCCTCATGTCAAAGATTGTGTTTGTATCAATCACAGGTTTTCTGGGCTAATGGGGAGGGCTTCTCCCTCTGTACCCTATCTTGAGTAAGAATAGCTACAGGAATAAGCAAGATCATCTAGAGTTCCCCAGGACTTGTCTTGCTCAGAGTACTGGTTTCCATGGCCAGTGCAGGCTGTCTGGAGTGGTCATGACTTCAGCTGTGGTTGTAGCAGTCCTCTGTAGCTGCTAGAGTTCCTCAGAGTGATTGTAAAGTGTCCAGAACAGATAGACTGCCATAGAGAAGTCCAACAGATTTCCAGTAAAGTGGCTGCTTGGCTGACACAAGCTGACAGGCATGCTGGGGGGCTGGGGGCTCATGCCTATAATCCTAGTCACTGATGAGGCAAATATCAGGAGTATCACAGTTCAAAGTCAGCCAGGGCAAATAGTTTGTTAGACTGTATCTCAAAGCCACTCAACACAAAAGAAGTGGAGTAGAGTGACTCAAGTGGTTGAGATTCTGCATAGGAAGTGTGAAGCCTGAGTTCAAATCCCAGTAACGCCAAAAAAAAAAAAAGAGGACTGCCAGGCATAAGGAAACGATGTGTCAAAATGCCTGCTCTGGATGGTTTTAATTATTTACAGAAAGCATTAAAAAGGTGTTTATAATAGTTAATGAAAGCTCAACACAAAACTAATAATTCTAGTAGCATTTAGTAGTACTTAGTAGTATTGAACAATGCTTAACAGAGTTTAACTTCTTCCCCAGTGCCTCAGGGGATAAAAAAATGTGCATATTCACAATGGAATACTAATGAACCAAAAAACAATGAAATCTGTGGGGAGTGGATTATGAGAAGCCTATGAGAACTTGACATAAGCACAGTTTGTTCAATAATCTACAGACTGAGTATGGCATGGCCCTAGCTGCACAGAGAGGCAAAATGCAGCACAGCTCCTTTTCCTAAGTTGTTTGCTTTCAGAGAAGTAGGAAGCAGGTTTCTCTTATTACAGCGTTATGGCTCTCCCCGAGAACTGTTGCTCCACCTCCTTGTTTACCACTAGATATAAAAGACTGGCTGAAGGAAGACAAGCGGTTTTTTGATGAGGGATGGATTGATTGATGGGTTTTTTTTTTTGATGGGAGTTTTCATTGGCTGCCACTGTCATTGTTGTGTCTCCACCAGAACAGCTTTCTGCACTGAGAACTTTATACATAGGCTTAAGAAAAGCTAAAGAGAACATAGGACAGTGTAAGTCTAAGGACTGAGACTTTTAAGAGTTATGCTAATGTAGTTTTTAGATGCAGCTGCTGCTGTTTGTCTGCAAGTCTGATGGCCAAGGCTTTAAGAGAAATTAAAGAAAACATGGGACAGAGTGAGTCTAAGGAAAGAGACTTTAACAAGTAGAAAAGAAGCAAGGTTTTAAAGAATTGTAAAGGAGTAAGGCCTTAAAGAATAGAGAAGAAAAGAAGCAATGAGGCTGTTGTGCATTTCCATTCCAGCTTTATGCCTGTCTGTGTCTTCTATTGTTTGTCCTTTCTGCATCTCCAGTCGCCCCCAGTTAGGTCAGTAGGACCAGGAGCATGAGAAAGCTCTCTACAGAAATCCCGTCATTTTTGGCAATATGGATGGAAGTGGAGATCATTAGGTTAAGTGTAATTAGCCAGGTACAGAAAGACAAGTACACATGATATCACACATACGTGGGATTTTTAAAAGTTGTTGTCTTAAAATTGAGTAAAATGTGGTTATCAGAGGAGGGCAAGAGTGGTGGAAACAGGATAGGGAAAAACTAATCAATGAGTACAAACTTACAGTTAGTTAAGAGCAGTAAGTTCTGGTGTGCTATTGTACAGTAGAGTACTATAGATAACAATAATGTACTGTGTATTTTAAAAAGCTAGAAGAAAGGATTTGGGAAGTTTTCACCATAATGAAATGACAAGGCTGGTGGAGTGGCTCAAGCAATCAGGTGGCAAGACAGCCTGCCTAGCAAGCTTGAGGCCAATGAGTTCAAACTCCAGTGCTGCCAAAGAGGGAAAAAAAAAAAAAAAAGCGACAAATGCTTGAAGAGATAAATGTGTTTGACCAGATTTAAACATTATGCAATATATACATGTATGAAAATCCTTTAATATTAATATATACAGTTTTAGTGTTTTTATATATCAGTTTTTAAATAAGATGACAAATTTTGTATAGACATAAAGTTTGTTTGTAAGTGGTTGTGTTTGTGTATAGAGACCTTGGTTTCATTCTTGCAGTAGCAAAAGGCTTTTAAGGGAGTTTCTTGTGTTTTTCTGCTGTCACATATTTTGCTTTTGAATTTTTGATTAAATTCTGTGGCAGTGTTGATTGATAGATTCCTTAACTGTATTTTTTCTTTATCTCCTATTAAAGTAAGAATGCTCAGATTCTGAAACAGTTTGGCAAGTAGATAACAAAGTATCTTCATGTTATAAGGGGTATAAATTGATTTTCTCTCGTGTTTTAGAACTAATTTTCGATCTTGAATTTAAAATTTATATGAAGCAATGAAAAGTTGCTTTATTGCACATTGATTTTATAAAATAACTTAACTTTTTTTGGGGGGTACTGAGGTTTGAACTAAGGTGCTTGGGCTTGCTAGACAGGTGCTCTACCACTTAAGTCATGCTGCCAGCCCATAAATAACTTTGTTCATATTTCTTTACAGAAATGTTACGAGCAGAAGCAGTACAAAAATGGCCTCAAGTTTTGCAAGATGATTCTTTCGAATCCAAAATTTGCTGAACATGGAGGTATTGTCACATCTGTTGAGAGATTGCTTTGGGGAAATTTCACTCCCAAATCAGACAGATAGGGTTCTTAAAAATGAAAGAATGTGTCCTAAATTCCAAGATTTTGCAAATCTCTTTTGAGTGCATAAATATTTGACATTGTTGGTTATGCTTCATCTGAGTCTTACTGTAGACTACTTTTATTATGCTTCTGTATATGTAAAGTGTCTTTACTTTTTAGACAAGAAAGTTGTTCAATTGAGGGAAAATTGGATGAGGTATTATACAGATCTAATAGTTCCTCTCTGAATGTTTGGGAAGTATTTCAGATTTTGGAGTTTTCCAGATTTTGGAATATTCACATGGGTTACCAGCTGGACATTTCTAATCCAGAAATCTGAAAGTTTGTTTTTGAACACCCATTTAGCCCTTTGGTGCTTGGAAAGTTTCAGATCTTAGAGCATTTTAGATTTTGGAGTTTGAATTGGGGTGCTCAATACATACCACTATTTTTACAGACCTGATTTCCTCTGTTATTTTGAATAGAATTTAAGTTTATGCCTTGGTTTCCTGTGTATAAAATTAGGGAAATAATCGCAGTATAGAAATAGTGTGAAGATACAGTTAACATGTATTTTATTCTTTCATAGATATGTTTTCTGTATATCTGCTGACCTTTCTGTATAAACCTGGCACCATTAATCTACCAATAGCTTGTGTATATTGAGTTGTTTTTCTGTGCACTATTGTTGTTAACATCTATATTTGTATATTTCATCCTTTTTCTCTGGTAACCAGTGTTAGTTAAAAGGATCGGGTTAGACGTACCAATTATGGTCCCATAGCATAGCAAAGCTAGTTGAGGTCTCTTGAGTATTAGACTTGGGTAACTCTTGAGATCATTTTATTGGGAAAATAGACTGACCCCGCTTACCTTTCTAAAAATGTATAAAAGATTCTTTGAAGGAAATGAAAAGAAGTTTTTGTTTCATGGAATTTTAGGAATTTAAAGCTTATATTCAAACTTTATAGCATGGAAACCCTTACTCAAATGGAGATTGTAGAAAAATTCAAAATGTAAAAGAGATGAAAGATGTTTGGTTATTGGGGTCTAGGCTGCCAGATCACTAATTTATGAAAACTATGTATTGTTTCAGTTTAATTCCAATCATTACTCATCTTCATCTTTCATTAACTTTCTAAGATTTTCTTGGGTTACCATTCTAATAGAATGGTGTTTTGCTCTTGAAATGCAAATCAATATTAATTGACTTAAGTCTAATTAGTTGAGAGAAATTTGCTGCCAAAAATGAAATCTGTTCCAATATTGAATAAGTTTATTTTAAAGTTATGTATATCTCGTTATTAAGGCAAATAAAGGGTTTTTGTGAGGTGTAAATTAGATTATGATTCATTAGAATTTATCAAAGGGGAAAGCTAAAACAGCTGTTGTAGATTTAATTCAACAGGATTCAAATGTCTGCTTTGCTAATTTTTTTAGCAGGGCAATATCAGTCTCCTTTATAGAGTCTTCTAAAGAGTAGAAAGTTTTAGTAACTTTTCTAGCTTAAGAAATTTTAGAAAAGAACGTAGGCTAAGCTTTAAGCAAATACTTAATCGTAGTTTTACTTTTTGTACACGGAGAGAAGTTCTTTTTTTATTTTTAGTTTTTGTAGTATTAGAGTTTGAACTCGGGGCCTTGCACTTGGTTGGCAAGTGCTCAACTACTTGAGCCACACCACCAGCCCTTTTTGCTTTAGCTATTTTTCAAATAGTGTCTCCAATTTTTGTCCAGGGTGGACTGAACCGATATCCTCCAATTTATGCTTCCCATATAGCTGGAGGAACATGTGCATGCCACCATGCCTAGCTTTTATGACTTTTTGTCTGGGTTTACCTTGAACCACAATCCTTCCAATTTCTGCCTCCTCAGTAGGTAGGATTTATAGATGTGAGTTACCATGCCTGGCTTTTTTTTGTGTGTTTGTGACAGTGTCTCACTGTGTAACCTAGATTGTCCTCTAGCTTGCTGTGTACCCTATGCTGACTTCGAACTGGTGGTCCTCCCACCTCAGCCTCCCAAGTGCTGGGATTACAGGCATGCACACCACACCTGGCTGGAGAGAGGTTCTGAGATTAAAAAGATGAATAATATAAGCCTTGGAGCAGTAGTAATACTTCAGATCTGAAACATTAATATATGCTAAGAAAGTAATTTGAATATTTCATTTGTAAATAGGGGTTAAAATTATTTTTCAGAGACTTTGGCTATGAAAGGATTAACATTGAACTGTTTAGGAAAAAAAGAAGAAGCATATGAATTTGTTCGTAAAGGACTTCGTAATGATGTCAAGAGTCATGTCTGTATCCTTTTGCAGTAGTTACATAATTTGTGTTTTCATTTACTCCTTTTTTTCTAATTCAACTTAAAAAACTACTAGAAAATTTAATGAAATCTATGTACCCATTACCCAGCTTGTAATGTTGATAATTATCAACATTTTGTAATGTTAGCTTTAACTGTTCCCTATCCCTTGTTTATTGTAGTTTAAAGAATATCTCTATAAAGTGTGTGTGTATGTGTGTGTTTACTTCATTTGTTCCTAGTGTTGGAGAATCGTTAACTTTGATAATTATATGTGACCTGAAACCCATTTTTTTCTTAAAAAATGAAGTTATTGATACTTCCCTATTATTTGAAATATGACTTTTGGTTACATCTATATAAAAAAAACTTTGTGTTTCTCAAACTTTCTTTTAGAAATTTTAGAAGGAAAATTTAAAAAGAAACCTAGTTTAAAACATGTTTGGCTAGGGGCTGTAGCTCAGTACTAGGGCACTTGCCTTGTGATTCCCTACTAATGCAAAACAAACAAACAAAGCCGGTTTTATTTAGTATTAAGAAAGATACCAGCTGAGTGCTGGTGACTAACGATTGTAATCCTAGCTACTCAGTAGGCAGAGATCAGGAGGGTCTCAGTTAGAAACCAGCCTGGGCAAATAGTTTCAGAGGCCCTATCTCAGGCTGGTGGAGTGGCTCAAGTGGTAGAGTGCCTGCCTAGCAAGTGTGAGACCCTGAGTTCAAGCCCCAGCACTGTTTAAAAAAAAAAAAAAATACTGGTTTTTCAGTTTGATTTCTGTTTACAAAGGGACATAGCTTTTACTTCACTGAATCTTTATAATTACAGTTTTCTTTTGGCTAGTAACCCAGTATGTAAAAAAAAAAAAAAAACCCTACTTTTTAACAGTGGGTCATTGAAATTTCTTTTCGTTTCTCTCACCCAAGTATATCTTAGAGACTTTTCCTATAGTATGCTTGTATCTTAGTTTTTTCACTTAGTATTAGTAGTGATATCACATAATTAGTGTAGGGTTCTCTCAAAATACTAAATACTTATTTTCTTATCCCAGTGCTTACCCCAGAGTGAAGAGAAAGGGCATGTAAGTATGATAGTTTTGTCGTTGTTTTTTGCTAAGACTTTATGATCAACTTATTTTTTGTGGTCCTTAATATTACTAGTGAATTAAGTGATGGTTACATATTATTTGAGAATTGGTTGACTATAAATTTTATGGGATAATTGCAGTTTTTGTGTAAGTGAATGTTGAGGTTGCTGGGGTAAAATGTGAGGGGATAGAAGGTAGAAAAATTTGAAGAATTTTGCCAGGACTTTACTAAAGTTGCATAAAAAATATTATTGAAAATTTCAAATGTACAAAAGCGGAGAGAATTGAATTTTGAACCCCTGTTGCTCATCAGCCAGCTTTAACAATTTAATAACTGTCTATCAAGGCCGATCTAATTTCAGCTTTATCAACTCTTACTGTTCCCTCCCTCTGATCCCAGGTCATTCTGAAACAAATGTCAGGTAAAATGTCATTTTGTTAAGGTTATATATGAGAGATTATAGCATAGTTTGTTGTAGTGTCTGTGAATGTCTCTATTCCTTAACATAATAGGTTGGCATGTATATGGCCTCCTGCAGCGTTCTGATAAAAAATATGATGAAGCTATTAAGTGTTACCGAAATGCCCTCAAGTTAGATAAAGATAATCTGCAAATCTTGAGGGATCTCTCTCTGTTGCAGATCCAAATGAGAGATCTTGAAGGCTACCGAGTAAGTACTTTAATCTTAAATGTACTTTCTTTTTTCTTTTTTTTTAACAAAAGATTAAATTTAAAAGCATGTAAATTCAGAACAAAGTGAACATACATTAGTAGTAGAATGGGAAAGTCACATGGTCCTACATTAATAGTTAAGGAACTTCATACTTTAGCATCAAATAAGAATAAACTAATCCTTTTTTAGGAGCTAGAGTATCTCTTAATTGCAGACGCTGTACTAGGTTTTTTGTAGGGTTGACATTTATAAATTTGATGAACTGGGTTTGACATTCAATTTTTGTAATTGAATGCTAAAGATTAATTAGCTTTCTTATATTATAGGTTAGTATAAAATGAGAGGATTGCTAAAAATCAGTTTTTCTACAGGTCAGATCTGTTTAGACACACATCTTCAATTTTCTGTGAGGCATGTCCATGTGCATACTCTACTTTGTATTCTAGAATCAGTATGCCCACTGTAGTATTCTCTCTGTTTTTTATGTGAAAGAGCCACTAACTCTTAACAGTTTAAATAAATAATTTACTTCTTACTTTTGCTTTCTTAATGCCATGCAAGTTCTTATACTGGCTGCCTACATTTCAGCAGTTTCAAGGGCTCTGCTGAACTTCATAATGGCACCATTCTTCCAAGTGCCATTAAAATTAAAATTAGTTATCTTTAGGAATAAGACAGAAATTAGGGAAGGGAGGGACGGAGTGGGTGTAAGAGGGTGGGCAGGGGAAAGACCCAAGCATTGTATGTACATATGAATAATAAAACAATAAAAATTTTTTAAAAAGACATAGAAATTAAGAATATTAGCAAGATAATGGCTGTTAAACTGGATTATGAAACAAAGTACATTAAAAGAGCTGGGGTGAAAAAGGATCTGTGGAACTAGAGGTACTGGTGTTATCAAAGAACAAAGGTAGGTAGGAATGTCACCAAGTGAGAATGTTGACAGCATAGAAGCTGTGATTAGAGAAAGATATCTGAATTTGTGACATGAAGGTCTAGGGTGTGATTATGGGAGTGGGTCCTTGAAGTGGACTGGAGAAAATCATTGAAGATGAGGAAATCTTGGAACTAAGAAGATAGTTTATTAGATGGGTGACTCACATTAGTGTTGCATTTCCCTAGGATAATGACAGGATTTAGCAGAGAGAAGAAAACTGAAGCAGACTTCAATGAAGGGAGTGGAGTGAAAGAAACGACAGTGAAAATAAAGAATAGAATAATATAACAATGTCATCTGTTAAAAAGAACCAGGCACACATGAGGGTAGAGGTGGCTGTATCATTTTGTAGTAATTACGGTTTTTAAAAAATGTCTGAAAAGTATCTCTGTGGCATATAGTATGGATAGATTCATTTGACACTTATGCTAACCATTTAATAACAGTCATGGGATTTAAATGCTACTTTTTCCAGACTCCTTTTTAGTTAATGTTCTTCACGAGACAGTTTCTCTAAACAGTGGCACTTGCTTAAAATTTGGAGAAAGAAATGAGTTGTAAGAGGTCTGTGTAGAGAGGTTGGATTTTCTACAGGGAAGATACTTTGATTCTTCAGGAGCAGCCATGGTGGAATTTCTAGTATTTTGTCCCTAATATTATAGGAGTTATCTGGTACTGAAAGTGTTTCTGCTAGAAGAATCCAGTTAGTATTTGAGTGTTTTCCCTGACTGATGTCAATTCTATTTTGGAGACCAATTATAACAATATAAATACACTGACATTTCATGTAATTTTTAAGAATCTAGTATAATAAAAAACTCTCTTAATCTTTTTTTTTTTTGCAAAATATTTAATTAAATTTTATAAGAAGACATTTTTGTTATATAAAAGTAAAATTTTATAAGGCAACCCAAAGGCATGGGCCCCAAGGGCAAGTTTTCAGTGGTAGCCTTTTAATATCTTACAGGGTATTAATGTAATTGATACAGAAACTTGAATAATTTAAGTGAAAAACATAAAATATATTCCTATCATTCTGATCTGACATTTGTTGACTGAGTTCATTAGAAAGGTATTAAAGATGTTAGATAACTTTCTTAAAATACTGATGAAATATAAATATTTTAGAGAAGGTTAGAAAAGTTAAGATAGAGAATAAAAACTTTTTTTTTTTTTTTTAAAGGAGACAAGGTACCAGCTTCTTCAGTTGCGCCCAACACAACGTGCTTCCTGGATTGGATATGCCATTGCATACCATTTGCTGAAAGACTATGATATGGCACTCAAACTCTTGGAAGAATTTAGACAAACACAGCAAGTAAGAACTGCATTTTAATATTCTACCTCTTACAGACTAAAATAGTTGACTTCTAAATTATCCCATCCTCCAAATTTGAGTTAGGCTTTTGAAGCCTATGGAAAAACTTGAAAATTTTTCTGGAATAATTAGAAAAAGTTAAAATGTAGTATTCTTACAAAATAAATAATGTAAAAATTTTTTAATGTACTATAATATCAACAATGTTCAAATAGATTAACAAAGAAAATATGGGCTGGGGATAGTATAGTGCTTACCTAGCATGCACAAGGTACTGGATTTGATGCCTAGCATGCCACCCCCCAGAAAGAAAGAATGTAAAAATAAAAATAGTTTTGAAGTTGTGGGACTATTTTTCTAAGATATATATTACTTGATGTGCCTGGGGATATAGCTCAGTGGTATAGAACCTACTTAGCATGACCAGAACCTTGGGTCTGATCCTCAGCACTGCCAAAAACAAATAAACAATAATAATCTATATAAATAAACAACAGATACCCTATATAATTAAAATAAACAACAAACCCTATATAATTTTTTAACATAAATGTATTTTAATATGTTTATATGAAAAATACAAAAATGCAAAAGCTTATACTTGTGTATCATCAGATAAATTAAATATGTGTTAACAGCCGGGCACTGGTGGCTCATGCCCGTAATCCTACCGAGGAGGCAAAGATCAGGAGGATTGGGGTTCAAAGCTGTCTTGGGCAAATAGTTTGAGATACCCTCTTTATAGGTTCTCTGGGCTTGAACAACTTCTATCCTGCTTCACTTATTCTACCTCCCAGAAACTTGTTGAAATCTTATCTGTTCTGTTGATTTTCATGGACTTATATATTTTTACATTTTCATTATTATTATTTGTAAAAAGGCCATGGTATGTTGCCCAGGCTAACCTTGACTTTATGGGCTCAAGCGATCCTCCTGCCTCAGCATCTTGAGTAGCTGGGACTATAGGTGTGCAACTCGGCTCTGTATTTTTAAAATCTGCAACTATTTTTGCTTATTCTCATAATGGAAAATAAACTATGTGGCAAGTTTGCCCCTCCTTACTTAGATTCTTAGCTGTTTATCTCACACTAGAGTTTTCTCTAGGAGACCAGTTCTTTGTCATTATCCAAAAATCAAGTCCTAGCCAAAAGAGAGATTGTATCATATTCTGTGGGCCTGATAAAAACTCTTCCCTTGTAAACACAAAATTATTACAGTTTGATGGTTACATTCAGGTAGTGTTTGGGATTTTCTTAATTTTTAGAAGCAGCTCTATTAAAGTATGATTTGCATACTGTAAAATTAACCTGTTGAAATTGTACGTCTCGTTTTTTGGGTAAGTTTATAAAGTTGTGTATTCTTTGCCACAGTCCAGTTTTAGAGCATTTCATCACCCCAGAAACATTCTCTTATGCATATTGCAGTCAATTGCCATTCCTGTTTCTGCCTTAAGCAGCCTTGAGCTGCTTTCTATCTCCATAGATTCACATGTTTTGAGCTTAAATAAGGGCAATCAATCATAATGTAGTGTTTTGTCTTGGGTTTTTGTGTTAGCAAAATGTTTCTGAGATCCCTCCATATTAGAGCATGTTCATTTCTTTTTAATTCTTAATACTATTTCATTACATAGATAATACCACATTTTATTTATTCATTCGTCGATAGAACTTCAGCTGTTTTCAGTTTGGATTATTGCAAGTAATGCTGCTCTGAACTTTGTGTCCAAGCAAAGTGTTTGTGTAGATATACATTTCTCTTGGCTAGATAGATAGGAATGGAATGGCTGGTTGTATGATAAGTATGTATATGATTGTCAACTTGATTAGATTGAGAAGTACCTAAGAGATTAATGAAGCAGATTTCTGGGTGTGTGTGAGGACATTCCCAGAGAGGATTAACTAAGGGAATAAGACCTACCCTGAATGAGGTGGCACCATTGTTTAGACTGGATTCTCCATGGAATAAAAGAAGAGGAGAAAGCCAATTTGAGCACAGGCATAAATATCCTCTTTCTGCTTCTTGGTCGCTGTAAGGCAAACTGCTGTGAACTCCTCTTATGGACTGATACATCTGAAACTGTAAGACAAAGTAGTTCCTCCTCTATTGTTGTTTTAGTTTTGAGGCAGTATCTTGCTTTGTAGCCCAGGCTGCGCTTGAATTCCTGATCCTTCTCCCTCAGCATTCTGAGTGCTGGGATTATAGGTATATACCATGCCCAGCTATTATATCCTTTAAATTGCTTTTCTCAGGTATTTGGTCACAGCAATAAAAAGCTAATTTGTTCAGTATAACTATTTCTTAATAAACTGCCCAATTTATTAAGGAAGTTTTCAGGGAGAAATCCATTTTATATTCCCAAAGTCAACATATGAGAATTCCAATTTCTCCACATCCCCAACACATGCTATTGTACAGTTTTTTTTTTTTTTTTTTTTTTTTTTTAAGGAGGAGGAAGGCAGTACTGGGGTTTAAACTCAGAGCAGGGGCTTGGAGGCAGGCCTTTTACCACTTGAGCCATGCCCCATCCTTTGTCCAGTTTTTCCATAAAGATATTTTAGTGCCTGTATAATAATATCTTTGTTTTAATTTGCATTTTCCTAATAGCTAATGACATTGAGCTTTTGTTTTGGTTTGTGTTTTGTTTCTGAGATAGCATTTGCTAGGCAGGTGCTCTACCACTTGAGCCACACACTTAGACCCTTTTGTATTTTTTTTTTCCGGTTCTGGGATTTGAACTCAGGACCTACACCTTGAGCCACTCCACCAGCCCTTTTTTTGTGAAGAGTTTTTTCAAGATAGGATCTTGCAAACTCTTCAGGTTGGCTTCAAACTGCAATCCTCCTGATCTCTGCCTCCTGAGTAGATAGGATTCTAGGTGGGAGCTATGGCACCCTGTTCAATTTTTGGAGATAGTATGCTAGCTTTGACCAGGCTGACATTGAACAGTCAGTCCTCCTCCCTCTGCCTAAATAGCTGGGATTACAGATGTATGCCACCACACCCATTTTTAAATTGGCTATTTGTCTTATAACAACAAAATTGTAAGAGTTTCTTATTCTGAGTATAAGCTCCTTATCAATTATATCATTAGCAAATATCTTCTCATAGTTTGTTACTTGAATTTTTACATATTAATAGTGTCTTTTGAAGAGGAAAAGTTTCACATTTTGATGAAGTTCAGCTTTTTTTTTTAATTTTTATTTTTTTATTATTCGTATGTGCATACTATGCTTGGGTCATTTCTCCCCCCTGCCCCCACCTCCTCCCTTACCACCCACTCCGCCCATTCCATCTCCCCCCAACCCCCTCAATATACCTGGCAGAAACTATTTTGCCCTTATCTCTAATTTTGTTGAAGAGAGAGTATAAGCAGTAATAGGAAGGAACAAGGGTTTTTGCTAGTGAGATAAGGATAGCTATACAGGGAGTTGACTCACATTACTTTCCTGTGCATGTGTGTTAACTTCTAGGTTAATTCTTTTTGATCTAACCTTTTCTGTAGTTCCTGGTCCCCTTCTCCTATTGGCCTCAGTTGCTTTAAGGTATCTGCTTTAGTTTCTCTGTGTTGAGGGCAACAAATGCTAGCTAATTTTTTAGGTGTCTTACCTATCCTCATATCTCCCTTGTGTGCACTTGCTTTTATCTTGTGATCAAAGTTCAATCCCCTTGTTGTGTTTGCCCTTGATCTAATGTCCGCATATGAGGGAGAACATACGATTTTTGGTCTTTTGGGCCAGGCTTATCTCACTCAGAATGATGTTCTCCCATTCCATCCATTTACCAGTGAATGATAACATTTCATTCTTCTTCATGGCTGCATAAAATTCCATTGTGTATAGATACCACATTTTCTTAATCCATTCGTCAGTAGTGGGGCATCTTGGCTGTTTCCATAACTTGGCTATTGTGAATAGTGCTGCAATAAACATGGGTGTGCAGGTGCCTCTGGAGTAACCTGTGTCACAGTCTTTTGGGTATATCCCCAAGAGTGGTATTGCTGGGTCAAATGGTAGATCAATGTTTAGCTTTTTTAAATAGCCTCCAAATTTTTTTCCAGAGTGTTGTCCTAGTTTACATTCCCACCAACGGTGTAAGAGGGTTCCTTTTTCCCTGCATCCTCGCCAACACCAGTTGTTCGTGGTGTTGCTAATGATGGTTACTCTAACAAGGGTGAGGTGGAATCTTAGTGTGGCTTTAATTTGCATTTCCTTTATTGCTAGAGATGGTGAGCATTTTTTCATGTGTTTTTTGGCCATTTGAATTTCTTCTTTTGAGAAAGTTCTGTTTAGTTCACTTGCCCATTAGTTTTGGGAGAATTTAGTTTTTTAAGTTCCCTATATATTCTTGTTATCACTCTTTTGTCTGATGTGTAGCTGGCAAATATTTTCTCCCACTCTGTGGGTGTTCTCTTCAGTTTAGAGACCATTTCTTTTGTTGAGCAGAAGCTTTTTAGTTTTATGAAGTCCCATCTATCTCTTAGTTGTGCTGCTGGGGTTCCATTGAGAAAGTTCTTACCTATGCCTACTAACTCCAGAGTATTCCTACTCTTTTCTGTATCAACTTTAGAGTTTGGGGTCTGATTTTAAGATCCTTGATCCATTTTGAGTTAATATTGGCATAGGGTGATTTACATGGATCTAGTTTCAGTTTTTTGCAGACTGCTAACCAGTTTTCCCAGCAGTTTTTGTTGAAGAGGCTGCTATTTCTCCATCGTATATTTTTAGCTCCTTTGTCAAAGACAAGTTGGTTATAGTTGTGTGGCTTCATATCTGTGTCCTCTATTCTGTTCCACTGGTCTTCATGTCTGTTTTTGTGCCAGTACCATGCTGTTTTTATTGTTATTGCTTTGTAATATAGTTTGAAGTTGGGTATTGTGATACCTCCTGCATTGTTCTTTTGACTGAGTATTGCCTTGGCTATTCGTGGCCTCTTGTGTTTCCACATAAATTTAAAGGTAGATTTTTCAATCTCTTTAATGAATGTCATTGAAATTTTGATGG